TTCCACAAAAGCAAAATCACCGGCTTGATCCACAAAAACACACTGAGACATAATAGAGACCCAGAAGATGAACAGACCTATGGAACAGCTGTTCTGCCCTACATAAGAGGCACTACAGACAAAATTAGTAAGATACTACACAGACACCACATCAAGACTGCCTTCAAAACAGACAGAAAAATAGCAGCCATTCTCAGAAACCCCAAAGATAAAATTGACCTGGAAAACCAAGGCATATACGAAGTCCCCTGTGCATCATGCCCGGCCACATACATTGGACAGACCAATAGAAGAATAAGCACCCGCCTGGATGAACACAAAAATGCAGTCAAAAAGCTGGAACACACTTCCTCACTAGTCCAACACATGGAAGCCACAGGTCATAGCATCAACTTCAATGGCATCAAAACCCTAGCCACTATAGAAAACCCCAGCCACAGAATCATCAGAGAAGCCATAGAGATTGAAAAAAGACCAGAAAGCATGAACAGAAGAGATGATTCCACCAGACTGTCAATCATTTGGAATCCTGCACTCACAAAACAAAAAAATCTCCACACCACAAGCCAGGCAAACACCTGGGCACAAACAGATCCCCCCTGATACCTCCAGCTCAAACACACTCCAACCAGGCACCCAGATGAAACCTAGCTTCCTAACTAATGATAGCCGTCCATTTACCTGGAGCCAAGCTGCACTAAAGGCCTCCAATAAAGTAACACAATGTTGCCAGCCAATCAAGATACAAAAAGAGCCAAAAAACAGACAGAAGATATTAGAAACACCAATCAAGCAGAACACAGCAAACTCCAAGACCAATAAACACAGACCAAGACTCTCAACCAATCAGGATGAAGAAAAAACCATTCTGGCACAGCAATAGGCTGCCCCAAATTCAAATCTGAAACCACTGTAAAAGCCTGACTCACAGATGAACACTATACAGAAGCCTGATGATGGCAGATGAGATTCTGCCGAAACGTCGCTACAACTTTAAAAGCACAACTACTATGACGTGGGAAAATACCCGAACAAAGCTGAATGCCATACATACATACATACATACATACATACATACATATATAATTTCAGCAACTTCATTCAAGCTTTAGAACTCCCACATGGGAGAATTTATGAGCTATGGTAGCATATTTATCAGATTGTAATTAATAACAATTAATTAGATGATGGCAAATCATGATATTTTATATTTTATTCCAAGCATATATAACTGTAGAATATAATGTTCAGACTGAATTGGTTTTATTAATAAATGTTTATAGTTAAAGTCCATTCCACGTAATTGTACATTGTAACTTAAGAAGATTTAAAAGATAAGTGAAAAACTGAACTTGAATCTCTCCAGATTTTGTGCACCATTGTAATCACTACATAGCGCCCCCTCCTATCACACACACACGCACACAAACACACACACCCTCTTCTACTAAGCATAACTTCTCCACTTCTATAAGTAAGAAGGGAGTGTAATACAAATGAATGCAAATGAGGCTAGAAACATTTATTTATAGAAATGTATTGATTTTTATTTTTATTTTGTTTTCCCTAGAGTTATTGTAATCAATCAGTGATGAAATGCTTTCAACTTGAGATGGAAGTAGTGTCGTATGAATCTAAATTTGGGGATCGAAAATTTTATGATAGTGTGAATAGTATAGTCAGACTTGTTAAATATTTACTACCCATTGAAACGGTAAGTCCACATATTGCACTGAACTGGTGTACAAGGAGTTTGTAAAACCTCCTCATTTACAAAATTACTCAAATCATTTGTCAGCTATGTCAGTAAAAGATACTTCCTTCCCCCCACAAACTCACATATATGGAATGCTAAAAGCGCTCTTGAAAGAAAACATACATAGCAAGTTGAATTGACTTTTAGTGGCAACAGGTGTAGAATCAACAGATACCAATAGCCCAGTAAACCATTTTTTTAAAAAAAAATCACTGACTATATCACAAAGATGCCAGCCCAGCAGGAAGAAGAAATAAAGTCACCCAGATGGGTTATCAAAAACATTGCAATGTCATGTTGTAATGTACACCTTTCCCTTTGTCTTGTCTCTGTAATGTAGTAGGTCAAAGGTATATAAGCTCTGGCTGTGCTTTTGATCAGGTTGCTCAGTAAGCTGTTAATGGTTTTCAGGAAATTTCATGTATACACTGTTTTGTTATTTACATAACCAATAAAACTATATTGTAGACATACTTACCCTGTTTCTCCAACAATACGGCCTCCCCCAATAGGAAGTCCCAGCATGTTTTATAGGCATGAAATGAAATTAAGCCCCTCCCCCCAAATTAAGGCCTATATTAAAACATGCAAAATGGGGGGAATGGTGGCGGGGCTTGCCATTAGGAAGTACTTTTGTTGCACACCCGGATATGGTGCTGCCTGCGTTGAACCCGATACGAAGTGCCCCACCAACGCCGAGGTCAACATCCAAGCCGTCGCTGCCCGCCCACCCAAAGATGCAAGGGGGGGGAATTAAGTCACCCCTGAAAAGACAGCCTAGCCATTTTTTCGGGGCTCAAAAAAAAATAAGACCCAGCCTTATTATATGAGAAACACGGTAGTGTAATTTAGATTTTTCAGAAGGCATGTCTGAATGCTACACATCAGAGATAAAGTTATGATCCTCTTTCTGCCATTTCCAAGGAAGCTGAGAATGTTCCCTTTTATAAGATTGGCCCTTTTCTTGCTAACAATAAAGTCCACAGAGAGCCTTTACTTTAATTCATAAGAGCAGGATGTTATTCCACCAAATGATTATTTTCCTTTGGCATTCTTAATAGTATTACGTCTTTCTTAGGCTGGAGATGGAAAGATAAATATTTCTATTGTTCTTTGAAGAAAAGTAGAGTTAGGAAAGTTTTACTGTAACAACCTGGTAAACAAACCACTGAAAATTGGCATGGTTCAAAAACTGAAAAATATAACTTGCATATCCTAGTTTAATATACATATTCAAAACTTTGGGTGCATTACATGGAATGAGTCCAGTTTGGATGAATACATTCCACTTCAAAGTACATGAAATACTAGAGTATTATCTGTATTTAATAGCTGAAGCCAGAGGACTCTAGTCAGTTAATTCTGAGGTTTCTGCAAAGATGGATGGTGCACTATTTTTCTTCTCATTCTTGATCCCCAGATCCAACCCTTGTTTTTAAACAAACCATTTTTCTCTTCAACACCAGGGGGAGGGAGGTTCAAGATAATCCCCCTGACTTTTGCTATGAGCTAAAGATCATACTTGATAAAAGACCGTTGATTAAATCTGTCTGCCCTCTGTCTGGAAACTGATAGTTGGAGCACTGTGAAAGAATGGCTTCACAACACAACTATACCCATCAAATTCTCTGCTTCCTCTCCTCTGTGATACACATGCAACAAAGCAGAGCAGAGCGGGAGAACAAATATTTTTCACAAAGAACAGAGTGGGGTCCAGCACATTTTTCCTTTTGTAAAGTTGATCTATTTTATAGGTTGAACTGCACTGAAGTGAATTCTAAGTTAAATATCCTTCCCCCATAATCCTCTCCTAATATTCCTGTACTACTCAACACATTGACTAAAAGGTCTCCAGACTATATTTAGTTCATGGACAATGTCCAACTTTGTTTTAAGAGGATCTCAGGAATGAATTGAATTGATAAAGGAGTAAATTGCAGAAGAATGTCTAAAGGGATTTAAGAATCTGTAAGAAACTAGGCAAGCATAAACATTTAGCTTTAAATTCTTTGTAAGTTGCAAGTGGCTACAGGACAAAAATAGCAACTAAAAAAATAAATAACTTAATAGCTGTAAAATGGATTGTTTGTTTCAGTAGTGTGAAACAGAAAGAAAAACTTAAGTCACTGAACTCTGCTAATGTGGAATTTCAATATTCTGGTACAAGTAGTCTTCAACTTACAATAGTTCATTTAGTGACTATTCAAAGTTACAATGGAACTAAAAAAAGTAACTTACGACCATTTTTCAGTTACGACCTTTGGAGCAGCCCCATGATCATGTGATCAAAATTCAGATGCTTGGCAACTGGTTCATATTTATGACTGTTGCAGTGTCCCAAAGTCATGCATTCAGCTTTTGCAGTCTTCTAACTAGCAAAGTCAATGGGGAAGCCATATTCACTTAACAACTGGGTTACTAACTTATCAACTGCAGGAAGCTCATAAAGTGGGGCAAAACTCACTTAACAACTATGTCACTTAACACAGGGGTCCCCAACCGCCGGTCCGCGGACTGGTACCGGTCCGCGGAACAAGTCTTACCGGGCCGCTGGTTGCTGGGCGCCGCCATCTTTTTTTGGTAAAAAAGTGCTTCCGGTGAGCTTTTCCGGGTAGAAAGCTCACCGGAAGCACTTTTTCATCAAAAAAAGATGGCTGCGCCCAGTTGATGCCGGTACCGGGCCGCGGCGCCCAGCTGATGCCGGTACCGGGCCGCGGCATAAAAAAGGTTGGGGATCACTGACTTAACAACAGAAATTTTGGGCTCAATTGTGGTTGTAAGTCGAGGTCTGCCTATATTCCTTTGGAGCTATCTACTCACAAACATGGTTTTAGAACTCATACTGCAGTTTTTGAAAAATGATATTTTCCCCCACTCTAACTGTATTAGAAATCTTGTTATTAGGAATCTGTGTCATTGTATGTATGTATGTATGCATGCATGCATATATGTGTATATGTATAAGTATATATCTTTGCTTCACCATGTTGCTTATTGTACTTTCCCCAATCTTTCATTTTTGAAGAATACAGATACACAGACCTGCCAACGATGTGAAACATATAAAGAAAAAAAATATTCAGACTTTATAACAGACTTCATGTTTGTTATACAGCGGATCAACCGAGAAGAGACAAAAGTGAAAATTGGGCACTGAGATACTTCATTGAAGCTGGAAGAAATAATTTATTTCATCTTTGAAAAGATAGTTTCTGAATGGTTAGCCTAATTCCATCTCTCTTTTTCTTTGTTGTCTTCCATTCTGGGAGTTTGAAGTAGAGGTAGTCCTCATTTAGTGACTGCCTTGTTTAGTGAACATTTGTGGTTACAATTATGAAAAAGTAACTTTGCAACCAATCCTTGCATTTACAAGTTTCGGGGATCTGTACAGCAAAGGAAATTTAAGTAAGATCATGGACACAGTTGAATTTTCACTTAGCAATTACTTAATGACAATTGTCGGTCCCAATTGGGATAGCTAAACAAGTACTACCTGTAACTAAATTAGCTGAACCACACATCTATGCGCTAATTTTAAAAGGAGTTTGCTTTCTGCTTCAAGAGACAAGATCGCATTTATATACTGGAATGCTGGAAAAGAGGCAGAGAATCCAAAGAGGAGGAAATTGGGGAACATCAGGATAGAGTTGGCTTTGGACAGTGACTGAAAATGTGAAAAAAATAGGTACACATTCAGAAACAAATGCAATTGAATGGACTTCATGAAATCCAGGCATGCAGAATAGCATAGCAGCCAAAAACCTGGTAATTTACAATGATGTAGCAAGTCAAACCTGGTTGTACAAGGGCAAAAAAGGAAAAACGAGTTTACAGAAATTATGAGAAGATAAATAATTATAGTGGTAAGATTTAAAAATAAGTAGATATCATTTGTTTAAATCCTTTTCCACTTGTTTTTTTTTAGTAACCCCTCAATACAAATCTGTCACATAGTTAAGAGGATCTGGATAGAAATATAGAGATGGAATTGCTTTATGATCACATATCATTTGATGTTACACCAAAGGATATATTGATATTGCATGTACATATATCTGTGTTAAAAGATACAAATGCCAAATCTAAAACAATGATTTTTTCTTAATTATTTTTTATCAAAGATCTGTATATATAAAAGCTTAAAACAATCTTATTCTTAATTCTGGATGGAGTTACTAGAGATGCTCTTAGACTTGCAACGTCTGTTCGAAGAGCAAGTGGCAGTCACGATAGGAGGATCTTCATACAGTGGATCAACCAAGAGGAGAAGAAAAAAATGTAAATTTCCTGGATCATGAGGCCCTGCATGCAATCACTCATGCCCTGGTGATCTCCTAGTTGGATGACTGCACTATTCTCTATATGGGGCTACTCTTGAATAGTATTCAGAAACTACAAATATCAACAGTTTGACTAGCGAACTCAAGAAAAGTAGACACTCTCAGGAACTTTTAAATCCCAAAACTTTATTAGATACAACATTTTGGCACTGAAGAATCAAAACCAACTCTGACTTTTCCCGCGCAATGCTTGTAAAGTTAAACAATAGCTCTCCTTCTCCCTACCCTCACCAATCCCTACCAATGTTTGGTCACATTGTCTAATTATGAATTGTCCATTTGTTTTGAGAACAGTTCACTTCTCTGTCGGACACCTGTATCAGTGTCCTTGGTGGGATCTTGGCTCCCATGGTCAATATTTGGAGTGTCTGCATTCTTTCAGCCTTCCCTCTCCCCAGTTTTTTGGCAGGTTAAAAGCGACAAGACCTAAATGTTCCATGTCCGATTCTCGGAGATTACATAGAAAAGTCCTTGTTATTTTCTTGGCAAGGTTTTTCAGTGCCTATCTTCTTCCTGGGATTAATAGAAAGTAACTGGCCTGAGGTGATTCAGTGGCTTTGTATCCAAGGCAAGACTCACTGTCTCTCTGTTTCTATATCTGCATGGATGGGTGTGTTTTGAATCTTGCCCTTTGAATATTTAACTGTGAAGGAAATAACATATTGCGACTGTTATATTCTAGTAGCCAGTCAATTACCTGTTTTCCCCGTACTCTCTCTTCCAGGATATGCTGAAATTCTTTTTTTTTAAATATAAGATGTACTACATATATGTGCAGTAATCTAACCCTAAACTAATTAATGTCTCAAGTTTCAACAAATTAACTAATGAATTTGTTATCTGAAAGAATTTTCATTGCTTTTTGGAAAAGGAAATGTAAATATTTAGTAATTCTATGTAAAGTTGAGCTGTGTGAATAGACAAGAATAAGTATTCAAGACTAATTAGTGTGGTGCTCTAATTGATTTATTAACTGGACCGTCAATCAGTTTAGTGCTTAAATAGAGAAAACCCAGACTGAAGGTTGCAAATTAAAGTTTACATTAAGCAGAGACTAGTAAAAGAATTCTTTGCCTGCAGGCAGGAACATAGTAAGCCAGTGTATGGAAATAGCTAAAGGGAAAAATCACCCAAGCTATTAGCTGAAAGTCAAAAGTTCAGAACTGCAGGAGTTTGCTGAATCCAGTCCAGAGGTCAAAAACTACTGATCAGTCTACAGGGCAGGGAGCCTGGAGGCTGTAGGAATTTAAAACCAGCAGAACAGAATCTAGAGGGAACCTTAAAGCTGCCCTTAAATAGCAAATTGACCTTGATTGATTAGTAATGCTCAAGGAGTTACACAGATGATGATGGCTAGACTCTTCCTAACTACCATCTTGTTTTAGGACTGGACCCTTGGTTAAGGTTTAGATCCTTTCTCTATTCTTAGAGTCAGGAAGTAGTTGTATTGAACTTACATCATTAGATCCAACACCTTCAGGATTAACTTCCCAACTGCAGGCTGGCAATCCATCAGTTTCTGCGCTGCAGAGTCACAATCCAAGAAGCCCACAACACATTCGGAGTCAACACAATCCTCATAAATACCACTGGCAATATTGTTGGAGAATGATCATATATAACAGTGAAACTTAATTGAATTTTGTTTATTGAAGTTAAAATTCAGTCAATAGACTTTGATTAAAACTAAGGACAGACAAGTTTAAAGATATCACACAAGACCCAAAGGCCACCGCACAGTTCACAAATAAGGAACATTCACAATTTTATATGATAATTAATAAAACATACATGATATCAGCTGTATAGTTTAATTATTTATGACCTATTTGTGAAAAAAGCAACAAAATATTTAGCTTCGTGTATAGTTATTGCCTTGTCAACACGAGAGAAGAGTATGCTGCAATGCGTAATGTTTATCTTACTTGGAACTTTGATTTAAAGTAGTGCTTGTTCTTACTGTTATAATTAAAAAAATACATTTTTTCCGGTACATGTTCTACAGTTTCAGCTAGGACAATCTCAATTCCAGAAGGATTTTCTTGAAATGACTTTCTGATGTAACTGCAGAGGCAATTGAATGGATTTTAAAAAAATATTTGGCGGGTGTGAAGGGTTAGAGCAGATGTTATTTCTCTGGTTTCTTAAGGACTAGGCTAAGAAATCGAACTGAGAACAAGTCTGAGATCCATGTTATTTTATAAAACTCCTAGGTATTAAATAGTCAGCACACTCTTTAATATACTCTCCCATTACTGTATATAATTAGAAAGCTAACTATATGAAGCTGGGAACGTGTCAGAAAATATGAAACTGGGCATCATATTTGTGCAGATGTCCATGCATAAAATCCCACTGCCCATTTAGGTTGTGATTCTAAATTGAGTAAATACACCTGCTGCTTATCCCATCAGTTTAGAAATTCTGACTGGTAGGTTCTCTGTTGTTGCTTCCATCCATTAGAACATCTTACCCTCAGAAGTAAGGCCCACTCTTCTGGTTTTCTGGAAGAGTGTTAAGACCTGTCTCTTCCAATTAGTGTGGGGGAATCTGAGAGTGTGATGCAACCCTGGGAATAACTGGTGGATTAAAGGCACTCCCACTGTTCTCTTAACCTCTTAGCCTTCTGAATTTTTTTAACTTTGATTTTTACTTTTACTTTTTAACTTTTTCTTAACTCTGTTTTAAATGTCTGTTTTTATTCAGGTATTTATATATTGTGTTGTTTTAAATCACCCAACTCACCTAAGTGAGAAATTTAATAAATAAAATAGAATTCAAGATCCCCATTGCCAGCCATTAGATGAACTCATAGGAAAAGCAAGTGGGAGGATCCAGAAACATAGGCCTATGCAGAGACTTTGAATGGTTTTTAAGTAGTTTTATTATTATGTATTGCTTAGATTTATTATTTTAAATTGATGGTCTTATTTTGTTTAAATTCCTACGCAGCTGTAGACTTTTTCCCCCTGAGGGTCCAAATGTGATAAAGAAATAAACATATTAGTCCCCTTTATTATATTTCCTAGTCTACAGGAAATTATTTAAGACTAGACAGTGTCAGTAAAATGGTGGCATGATTTGGCTCTGAAAGCCAATTTCATAGTGCAGTTACATGCTTGTGTGTTCAGAAATAAGTTCTATTTAAGGGAACATACAGGTAGTCTTTGACTGACAACCACAACTGAGCCCCAGTTTTTTGTTGCTAAGTGAGATGTTTGTTAATTTTGCCCCACTTTACAACCTTTCTTGTCACAGTAGTTAAATAGTTAAGTGAATCAGCACAGTTGTTAAATTGGTAACACACTTGTTCAAAGAATTCCCCACTGACTTTGCTTGACAGAAGATTGCAAAAGGAAATCACATGGAACACTGCAACTGTCATAAATATGAGTCAGTTGCCAAGCCTCTGAATTTTGATCACATGACCATGGAGATGCTGCAATGGTTGTAAGTATGAAAAATGGTCATAAATCATTTTTTTCAGTGCATTGTAACTTTGAACGGTCACTAAAGACAACATGTACTAAGGTTGATAGGAGATAGATAGATGACAGAGATGGATACAGATAGATAGATAGATAGATAGATAGATAGATAGATAGATAGATAGATAGATGATATGAAATTGCAAGAACAATTTTAAAGAAATAGAATGATTTCATGAAGAGCCTTATTTAAATTCCAAACAGCCAGGACATCTGTTTGATATAGTATATGATGAGGTATCTCATATTTTGAAGGTCATACCTGGATCAGTAGAAAAAAATATATCGTTATAAATGAGCAGCTGTGAGAAATGTCATTCTGTAATATTCTTCTGTAGTGCAGGATGAATCTTGTAAGTGATCTTCAATCAATTTTTAACTATACAGGTGATGAATTAAGCAAACCTGACTTCTGTGGTAGCCTTACTCTTGCCCATTAAGCTGGTGGCCTAGTCATAAAGGAAAGGAATGAAGGGCAGCTTTGGATTCATAATAGCTTTAGCTAAACTGCACCAGAGGCCAAATTATGGTATGTTATGAATCTGCAAGAAAATCTGCAAGAAAATAACCAAGCTCTCAGAGCCCCAAGGACCCTACAATTCAACCCTGACTGATAAATATTATCTTCCATTGGTACATTCCAGAAAGCCAAATCTTTAATATACAAAGTTTCTATTTTCTGGTTGTAATTGCAACATTACTAATGTTACCCAAATATTATAACATTTTTGGCTTTCAGAAGTGGTTATCACTTTCCCTTCCAAGCTCAGGATAAAAAGTTATGTGCAAAATTAATAGTGAGGGTTGGGGAAAGTAATCATGTCCTTTGAGATAGCCAATGTTCCTCTTAATACAAACAGACAATTATTATTTTATTCTAATTTACAGCAGGACCATCAATACCTTCAGCCATGATACTTCTGAGCAGCCTTGGGCACTGGGAGAAGGAGTTGCTACTTTGTGGTGGCTTTCCCCTCCTGCAATGTGCG